GTGAGCATCCTTCTTCCTCAGCTATCAGCCCTGACTGAGCTCATCTGCTCCCTTTTATACTATAGCTGCACTTGGAGCATGCCCAGTAGGATCCAGGGGGTGTGGCTTCCTCAGCCCACAATGCTGAGTTAACCCTTACCTGTCCAGTGAGGGGTGAGTGCACCCCATTACAAGCCAACAAATAAACCAAACAGAAAAAAAGTAGGCTTGTCCAAACAAAAGCAGGTACCTAAGGTACAGTCTGGCAAATGGGAAATGTACTCTAAGACATGACAATGCTAAAGACCTATATATGTATATTAAATATATAACCACACAAAAAATAAGATATAAACTAATGGGAAGAGTTGCAAATAGGCCACTGTGGTAAGATATGCCTCATTAAAATGAACATACTGTCCAAAATATTATAAACTCCCAGTATCCTACATGGGAACACACCCAAATCATCAGGCTTTTCAGAGTGAATGGGTGTGGATTGGAACAAACTAGAATTATTTCTTGTCAAGCTACTCAAACAAAAAAAAAAAAAAAAAGAGGGAATATTTGAGAGAGGTGGGGGACTAGTGTCTTTAATCAGTGTTTACTCAGTACTTACTATCAGTGATTTCAATAAAAGTTAATTGAGTGAAGAAAGTTACAGTTAGGGAGTACCTCAGGATCTGGCTCAATAAAAATTGCCATGATTCACTGATTAGTCTTGGTGAGTTCTTAGATGACCTATGTCAAGATCTGGTTACACTGACAGAAAGCTAAACCCTTCTGAAAACAGATTTACTAATAAACTAGCCCTCTGGGAACTATTTTTGTTCATCTAGCACTATTTCCAGAGGCAATTTGAACTGTGCTAAATCAGGGTCATGCTGAACTCTAAACTCTATCACAGGACTCAAACACAGTGCTGGAACAACACTACTGTACTTCTGTTATGCGGATGCAAACTACACTACCCAGTTTTAAACCCAAATAGTTTGAAACTGGTAGCATGGATAGAGCTTTATGGTTACCACCTCTTAAAGGAAATATTGCACATTTGCATTGTTTGGACTTGTTCCTATAATCCCCTTTCCAATCCATATGCTTATTTGGAAAACTGCATATAAGCACATTCTCTGACATGGCTCCCTTTATTATTCTCTATTAATTGTAGGATTGTGATGAGTGTAGGGCTGGAATAGCAGTTGTGGGGTGGTCAGGCATTTGTGCCGAAGCTCTATTCCCTAGCCCCAGGCTGGTGGCTGTGTGGATTTTATCCAAAAGATTCTCCTGCCTACGTCACCATTTTTCAAACTTTATGCAAGAGAAGTGGATTTCACCCTTAGACAGAAAGATGCAGCGGCAAGTTTTGATTTCATTAAGTTGCTCAAAGGACTCAGAACACACGGTCTCTTCCTTTCCACACTTCTCATCCTGAGGAGAAAGCCAAGCCAAATAGTATCTTGTAAATGGTCTAGAGGAGAAGAGAGTATGGTAGTGTACCCAGTAGGGGAGCATACAGTATCTCAGTGTTACATAAGATGGAAAATTGAGGTTTCCTATATTAAAATCTGCAACATGTTGGAAATCAATAATTTAGGGCAAAATAAAAAATAAATTTAATATCAAATTCACTACTGAAGGGAAACTAATAATTACTTGATTTATTTTCCTATTGAATTTACCTAAAACCATTCAATTTTTTCATGTGAAGATGCCACATAATCTATATTCTGCTCCACTGGAATGCCACAGAATCTGGGAGTTTTGGTCAAGTTGTCTACGGAACTTGCAGGGGCCTTGCCCAACATAAGCCACACATCAGGGAGCTAGATCTGAAATGGCCAGTAATGGACAAAAGATAGCTAAGCCAACCTGTGAAATATAGTGAAGAGCTAGGTGTGCTCACAAGGAAAAGAGGAGAGAGAGGGAAAGAGCACGGAATCTGTCTCCAGAGTCGTGCCAGCCTCTGCACCTAAATACAACTTCAGTCACTTATCAAACTGTGTTCCCCATAAATTTATTTTTGCTTGAGGACCCTGGATTTTGTAGGCTTAAAGGAGAATGTGGAACTTGAACAAAAGACACTCAAGGGACTTATTTTGACTATTACAACCCCTTACATGGGTATAAATAGAGTTTACCAGAAATACTATTTGCAATACAACACAGATGAGAGAAAAGAAGGCAAAAATAGAAGTTAATGGGAAAGCAAATTAAGAACAGATGTTGGCACTTTTTACTCAGAGAATAAACATGACAAATGACCTCTGGACAAGGTTGCTGGGAGGTCATTCAAGAAAAAGATGTCATATTAGGAAAAGCGTGGGCCAAATCCTTATTCAGGAACTACTCCCATTAACTTCAATGGGACATTTATCTAAGTAAGTAAGGACTCCAAAGACGTGACCCTACAAGATTTTTTTTTTAAGTTAGCATGCCAGGATGCCCCTAAAAATATCCCTAAAAATATTAGTGTACCCTAATATGTTTTCACATTTGATACAGATATTTTTGGATAAGTACTGACAGCAGGATTTGTATTTAAATGCTTCTTTAGTCTGGTGCCTAACTAAATATTACAGATAGCAGAATGAAAGCACTTCCAACCATGAGACAACTTGTTTTAATATGAATAGGGCAGGGGTTTGTTACCGTGTCACCATAATATCGGGCCACTGGGATTAGTTCTATTTTTCATGTCCTTTATAACATCATACAGAAAAGCATTTTCAGCTAAAATAACGTGAGCTAGATTTTTATTTCAAGTATAGCGCTGTGCAAGCTGCGCCGAAGCTTCGAGAAGCATTGTGCCTCAGAGAGATACCTCTCAGTCACCATTGCTTCCCTGCTTTCCCCTTGCCCCTGGGCGCAGTAAATGTTTGCATATGGCAGTGACAACTGTCTACCTGTTTCAGTGCCATAGGCTAATAGTCTCACATCAGAAATGTCAAATACAATGAAAGTTAAAATTACAGCAGGCAAAGCCACCCCAATGGACCCCACTCTCTCACAAACCAAGTTGCGCGAGTTTTTCCAGTTTGTTAACTAAACCTTAACTACAGGGGCCTACGATCACCGAATCCACAGCAGCTGCTGTGGTCCGTCGCCATGAGAGCAACAGGTATCAAAATTAAGTATCACAGCTAACTGCCAAACTGAAAAAAAATATTCCTACAACAGCCCACCACCAAAGACCCCTTTAAAGCTCTCTTCATTTTTTTAACACCATTAAAGAAAGTAAGACAAGCCTCAAAGTCATGACTGAGTTAATAAAATCTGAAGATGTTACATGTCAGGTATTGAGAGTTCTGGTAGCTAATGGTAACCAAAAAATGTCCTGGCTAAGGCCAAAACTTGAGGACCTGACTTAGTTTTTACTAAGGTAAAATTCCATTGTCTTCAGTGGAGTTTGCCTAAATATGGTCTAAATAAAAATTGAGTTAAGGCCCACAGCATTTGTCCTTAATTGTAAAAAAAAATAGAGCTTATTACTGTGCCTCATCAGGAGTTAGTAAAAGAAAATGAGAATATGGGAGGATCTCAGTCACCAGGCCTAGTGGAAGGTCTGAAGCCATGGCTGAGAGACTGAATTCTGAAAGCTCCTCTACAAAGGACATGTCTATCTGTTTCGGTTCTTCTATGCCCCCCTCCCCATCACCATAGCATCAGAGTAACTTGCATGAGTAAAAATGACAACAGCGATATCTCAATCCCCCTTCCCAATGAGGATTTTATCATAAGAAAGCCTTGATGAAGATGTGGTTTTTGCAAGTTGGGGTCTGACTCAGGAAGGGGAGCAGCAGAAAGCCATAAAAAAAAGCAAAGATTAATGATGATCCAGACTATTTTGAACACCTGCTGCTTAAGTGTCAATGGAGGAAGAAATATGGAAACCTGGAGCTACTGGGGCTGAACAGCCAGTTGGGGGCCACACACTGCTTCCCTTACTCACCCAAATGATCTCACTGGCTTCAATAGGATTACATGTGAGTATGGCAAGCAGGAATTGTCTTTTAAGATCCAGCCCTGCTTCATGTGAAATCAATGGCAAAACTCCCATTGACTTCAATATTGCCAGCACACAGCTCCAGTAATGAAAGTTACAGGAAAGAGTTTGTACAGCCAAGAGGCTGAGACTAGCAGTAAAAACGGAGCACAGCTGGCACAATTTGAGTCCAAGAGGAATATCTGAGTTTTGACTCCAACCATCTATATACTTATGTAGGCATGCATAACCATCCCTTACTGTCAATCTCCAAGGGCAGCCACACTTCTTTGCTGTCACACACCTGGAACGGCAGTGTACACAAGGGGGAAGTTAGCTGTCTGTAGGGCTCAAACCCACAGGCAGCATAAGCAGCAAACAGTTTAGGGGCTCAGGCCCTTAGGCAGGGCAGGGGTGGAGCACCCAGCAAACAGTCTAGGGCAGTGCTTCCCAAAGCCAGTCCACTGCTTGTTCAGGGAAAGCCCCTGGCGGTCCGGGCTGGTTTGTTTACCTGCCGCGTCCGCAGGTTCAGCCGATCGCAGCTCCCACTGGCCGCAGTTTGCCACTCCAGGCCAATGGGGGCTGCGGGAAGCAGCGCGAGCCGAGGGATGTGCTGGCCACGGCTTCCCGCTGCCCTCATTGGCCTGGAGCGGCGAACCGCGACCAGTGGGTGCCGCGATCGGCCAAACCTGCGGACGCGGCAGGTAAACAAACCTGACTGGACCGCCAGGGGCTTTCCCTGAACAAGCGGCGGACCGGCTTTGAGAAGCACTGGTCTAGGGCACTCACCCAAGGGTGCCCATGGAGCCCAGGCCTCCTGACCTAAGGAGAGGGAGTACTGCCACTCCAGGGGTGGGAACACAGGCCCACCCACTCCACCACATCCCAGCCCAGGGTCCTAACAGTGGCAGAGTGGTCTACCGCTGGGTCAGCAGGGAATCCACCTGCAACATGCTGACCATGTCTCCAGCAGCACCACAGCCAGACAGTAGTCTGGTTCCCCTGGGCTGCTTCTTACACTCCCCCTCGGATGTACCTTCATCCAAGGGTCATCCTCCATCTCTCCAGGGTACACTGCAAGCAGCAGTCCCAGCAACTCCTCAGCATCAGGCACGTCAAGGCCCTCTTTGGGACAGCAGAAGTCTTCTGTGGGCTCCTGCATCAGCAGTGGGGAGAACACATCCATCTCCTTTGGCAGCTGCTTCCCACCTGAGCTACAGGGCCCGCCTTTTATACTTCCTGTTCCTGGCCCGCCCCCCTGCTTACAGCATGGAGAGCGTGGCCTTCCTGGTTCTGCTCACTGGCTGTCCCTCATTGTCAATCTCCAAGGGCGACCACGCCTCTTTGCTACACTTTGCATCAATCTTGAAAACAAAAAAGCCTATGAAATGTAGAACAGTGACAACCAATAGTTTTGTAGCACAAAGTGCTAATGCCAAGACAGTATAATATAGTGTCCATCAAACACAATATACATTGTTACGCTTCTACCCAGGTTTGCAATAAGAACACAGGAAAACTGATTTGTGAACTGATGTTGCCATTCAATGTGCTTTTCTACCAAACATTTCACAAGTCATGAAGCCTGACCCATGTTACCATGTTCTTCCTTACATGTTCTAAACTGAAAAGACTGCTCCTAACTTCTTGAAAGCTAGGTGCAGTAGAATAATAGATGGTCTGAAATAGAAGTAGTTTGAAGGGTGTAAACATCAAAGGAAAGAGAGGAGTTGCTAGCATGGTCAAGAGGATATAAGTAGATATAATGAAATAAAATTAAGACAAAGACATTTTAGGATGAATATCTGGAAAAGGGAAAGCTTCCTAAGGGTAAACTTAATTAGACTAAAGGGCCATCATCCAAGAAAAGTGGTAGAAATCTCTTCAATTGAAATAGCTAAAACTGGAAAAGAAAAAACACTGAAAAATATACTGTAGGGAACAACTGGTACATTGACAGGAGAATGAACTAGCAGAACTAATAGATCCTTTTCTTCTCTAATTTTTATTACTATGATCTGAAGGACAGATGGGATGTCATGTTCATCTTACTACATATAACTGAGAAGTGATCACATGGTGGATAGCACAGCACTCACTTCCTGTGCCATTTTACAGTTTCACACCCAGAGGTCCCCAAACTATGAGGAACATAGGGAGGAACATTCGGGGGGCACGGCGTGGCCCAGGCCAGCCCCAATAGGAGGTGGGGAGGAAGCATCACCCAGCCCCACTCCCAGCTCTGCTCCGGCCCTGCCCCCAGCCCTAGTTCCTGGCCCCACGCTCGGCCCCACTCGCAGCCTTGGCCCCTGGCCACGGCCCAGCCCCACCCCCATCCTCGGCCCCTGGCCGCAATTCCGTTCCCAGACCCAGCCCTACTCCCGGCCCCAGACCCACCCCCACTGCAGCCCCAGTCTCAGCTCCCTTACCCCTGTCCGCATCCCGCACCGTGGCCACACTCCTGGCCCCAGTTCTGGGGGGGGGGGCATGGACAAGGGTAAGGGGGGGAGTGACCCTGAAAAGTTTGGGGATCACTGACATAACGCAATGATACAATGTGAATATTTTAACAAGGGGTTCCCACAAAATTTCTCACCCTTAGCCTGCGATAAACCTCATGTACTAGGAATGTGTGTGCCCATAGGAAAGCGGGGATGGGGGAGGGAGGAAGAGAAGGACTAGAGAATCTATTAATTTGGTGTCTCATTTAGACAAAAATCCTTTCATGTAGCTATGACCACAAAAAGAAGCAACCTCTCTTGCCAGTCAAACTTATTGCACTTACTCAAAATGTTTATATTTTGTTCCTGAAAAATATACAGAGAATTCTGACAGCATTGCACAGTGATCACCAGGAGTGGGGAGTGAAGACCTTGTATGAAACCAAGAAGTATCCTTTCCCAGGGGAAAATTAATTTTTAAATACCTACCATTTGGAGTAAGCTACTCCATTACACATGCAAAAATATGTGTGCATCAACAGTATATTGTAGAGGCTCAGAGATAAGAGATTTCTGTCAGGAATAGGTCAGCAGTGTCCAGAGAGAGGTTAACTCTAGCACAGTGGTTTTCAACCTGTGGTCCACAGACACCTGGGGGTCCACCGACTATGTCTCAGATTTCCAAAGGGGTCTGCACCTCCATTTGAAATTTTGTAGGTGTCTGCAAATGAAAAACGGTTGAAAACCACTGCTCTAGTGGACTCAGGGAAATCATCCTAATCCTCCCTTCAGTTTGTTAGCAGAATTTTAACAAGAGACTCCCCATAAATACCCTCCAGAACGTCAGTCACAAACAAACATTCAGTGTTCCAGTCTAGTTTATAAAGAGATCGTACTGCAGTCAAGCTGCTTAATGAGATCAGTTTCATATTTTAAATGGAATTTAAACTTTGGATGCAGAGGCATCAACACAGTCTGTAAATTGAAAGATGATGGCTACACCATACACTTTATACTGCTTAATTCAGCTATCTCATGCCTCCCTGAGTAAGATTAACATTATTGAAAAGATACAAGATTGGCATAGAAAATCTGGGGATAGTCTGCCAATTTCATGACAATAAGAAAAATACTTACATTATGGTGGATTTATTAAATCATTCATTGCAAGAATTGTAGCAATGTAATATAAATAGAGACAAGATCTAGGAAAAATGATAGCTATTTTATAAATGATATTTATAAAAATATAAAAAGGCCTAAACTTTCTTTTCAATTAATACAATGAGTCAGTGACATGGATCTCACAAGGGAGCAAGTTCCTCCAAGCTAGGACATTGTGAGAAAAACATGATATTTAGACAGAGTGACCAAAAATAAAAAAAGTATTACACTAGAATCAAACCAGAGATGGTGAGCAGGGATGTTCGTGAAAATCAAATCTCACATTTAGAAAAGCATCCAAAACTGCAGAGCCCTGCTGTTAGACACAAACTTTCAATTGTTGTATAAAAATAAAAGTCACCAATGAAAATAGGATAAAAAAATGTCTGAAGGATATAACACATTAAAGTCAATGGAAGTCTTCTACTGACTTAACTGGGGGTTGGATCAGGCTCATGAACTCCAATGCTTCAGGACATAAATTAAAAAGAAATGTCATATAGGCAGGTGATTCCAGAGACTGTGGGTATTGGATTAGATCAGAGGTGGGCAAACTATGGCCCATGGGCCACATCCGGTCTGTGTGACCCTCCTGCCTGGCCCCTGAGCTCCTGGCCCGGGAGGCTTGCCCCTGGCCCCTCCCCCGCTGTTCCCCTCTCCTGCAGCCTCAGCTCACTGCGCCGCTGGCGCAATGCTCTGGATGGCAGGGCTATGAGCTCCTGGGGCAGCACAGCTGCAGAGCCCAGCCTGACCTGGTGCTCTGTGCAGCACGGTGTGTGGCTGGCTCCAGCCGGGCGCGGCTGCAGCGCCGCCAGCCACCAGTGCTCCGAGCAGCGCAGGGGGCAGTGGACAGGGGGGGTTGGACAGAGGGCAGGGGAGTTCGGGGTGGTGGTCAGGGGGCAGGGGTGTGATGGGGTCAGGGCAGTCAGAGGGCGGGGAACAGGGGTTGAATGGGGGCAGGGGTCCCGGGAGGGCAGTTGGGAAGGAGGAGGGGGTTGGATGGGGCGGCGGGGGGGCAGTCAGGGGCAGGGGTTCCAGGGGCGGTCAGGGAGAAAGGGTGGATGGATGGGGCAGGGGTCCTAGGGGGGCAGTCAGGAATGAGAGGAGGGGTTGGATGGGGCGGAGCATGGCAGTCAGGGGTGGGGGTTCCGGGGGGGGGTCAGAGGACAAGGAGCAGGGGGGGTGAATGGCGTAGGGGTCCCAGGGGGGCTTTCAGGGAAGATGGGGATTTTGATGGGCCAGGAGTCCGGGGTGGCCATCAGGGAGCCAGAAGTAGGGGGGGCAAGGGGGGGCGGGCTACGCCCCCCTCCCCTAACCGGCCCGCTATACAATTTCCAAAACCCGATGCAGCCCTCAGGCCAAAAAGTTTGCCCGTCCCTGGACTAGATGCACTGCTGGTCTGATCTGGTATGACAATTCCTGTATAATGCACTTGAATAATTGATTCACTTGACACAAGTATGAACAACAAATGATCAGATGAGCCACATGATTCTAGACAGACAGCAGTTTGGACATAGCCAGTAAATGCTGATCAGCAATGAAGTTATGGAACTTCCACAAGTTCCTGAGGAGGTTGTGAAGGCTAGGACTATAACAGGGTTTAAAAGAGAACTAGATAAATTCATGGAGGTTAAGTCCATTAACGGCTATTAGCCAGGTTGGGTAAGGAATGGTGTACCTAGCCTCTGTTTGTCAGAGAGTGGTGATGGATGGCAGGAGAGAGATCACTTGATCATTACCTGTTAGGTTCACTCCCTCTGGGGCACCTGCCATTGGCCACTGTCAGTAGACAGGATACTGAGCTGGATGGACCTTTGGTCTTACCCAGTACGGCCATTCTTATGTTCTTATGTATAGAGTAATCAACTGCATTCACCAGACTTTTAGTTTTAATGACTGATAAACCAGCGTAGATTTTTCAAATGTTAAATAAATTATATCAGCAGGTCTTAACAACTTAATCAAGTCTGCATGTGAAACAACAGGCCAGAATCAAAGATGTTACTCAAATTCTGTATTACAGACACAGAAGTACTGTAATATGGAATGAGAAAAGGCTCAAAAGTGGAAAGATGAGTGGGCATGCCAAAAACAATTTTCTGTTTCTTTTATATTGTGAGATTAGTATACATCCATTTAGAGATGTGACTCAGACTAAAGGAGATGGGAAGACAGAGATCTAAAACAATAATGAAAACCAGAGAAGTAGATTAGTGTAATGAGAAGGTAAAGACATAAGGGGAAGAGGTGCTTATAAAGCATAGAGCCCAAATATCCACCAAAAAGGAAATCACGAGGGAAAAATAGTACTGCAAACTACCTGGGGGAAAAAAAGGTCAGAGAGGTAAAAATTAAACCAAAACTGGACACCAAAGTTCCAATCCTTCCCAAGTGAAATCAAGCAAGTTTTGCCATTGACTCCAATAGGGACAGGATTTGGTGCCAAATGAACAACATCATTTAGATACCAGTATTTCATGTACTAATATGTCAAATACTGTCAGCAGAGCCAAAAATATCAAGAGAAATGATAACCCACTTGATTTAGACTTGTCAAGGTCTTTACAAACCACATAGC